TTTGCCAGATCATCTCCTACGAAGTCTGTTATTTCGAGATCAGAAAACTAAAATATTTTGTTTGAAAGCTTCTGAAATGATATTAGAACTAAATTAAACATCATTAAGTCTAATAGCATACTGTTATTTGAAAAGCAAAATAATCACAAGCAGATGGATGGGCCACAAACTATAAGGCCTTTTGATTTGACACTAATTTTCATATTACTGTAGTTGACCTCTGCAAGGAAAGCAAAGATGGAATGAAAAAGTTTGATTAAGTCTTTTTTATTCTTCAAGTTCAATTACCACAAATAATTTTTATATCAGATTTTTTTTTCAAATTCAGAAACTTTCACAAAGTTTTTGCTTGAAAGCAAAATCACAAGAAGCAGATAAATAGCCCATTACAAACAAACGTAAAAATATGCATAATCTTCAGCAATTCCAACAATAATTTTTCTTTGCTCTGATTATCATTCATGATTATTGCTAATAATATTATCATATCGCCATTATAGATAACACCAATTCTTTTGTATTCAAAACATTTCGACAGTTAGGATCCTTTTAATCATACCGAAAACAGGAAGTTAAACCAAATCGAAGACTGAACTTGTAAAGTATAATTGTTCAATCTTTCTTGTTTAATTTTCCTTTTTAATCGATAAAAAAATCTTTCTTTTTAATCGAATAATTGTTCAATCTTTCTTTTTAATCGATTTAATAAATTGAATATGTATGCTATTTATAGGATACTGATAAGCTGATGCTAATATTCTTGATGAACATTTAAAAATATTGCTTTCATTAATATTGCCATCCAACATAAAAAACGATACTATTTTCGAGTAACAAGCGATTTTTTGTGATAATCAATAATTCATAACCCCAAGCATTGACTTCAAGTACCACTTGCAACTTTTTAATCTTTTGATAATATTAGTCAAATATTTGTAAACAAATTATATCGTGAGTCGAAAATTCAAACAAATCCAACATAATTAATAACGAAAATGAGGCATATTATAAGAATGATGTATAGTTGAATGAAAAGATCTTAAATTCGAGTCATTGTTGAAATCGAGCATTCCAAAAATTACATAACGGATTGCTTCTTGATTATTATCAATAGAAATCATATTTATTGAGGTCCATGTAAAATGGCAATAAATCGATCTTATGAATGTAATTGTCCGGTAATTCAGTCCAACCTGTATTTTAATGACGGCCAGATTGTGATCATCACGAAATGCTTTGATTTATCATTCGTTAAGAGATTCACAATCTTATCTGCCAAAACATTTCCATTCAATTCATTCGTCCATGAATTCATAGCAGTTAACTGTTTTAAGAAAGCTTATTTGACAGCAATTTTTGCTACAATGCAAAATCCGAGAAACATTTATTATTTTAATGAAACTGGAACTTAAATTTCCAATCAACGCTTACCGAAATTCATAAATTGAAGGATATGACTTTCAAATCTATGATTTTTTCATTTTTTTCGTGCCAATTAAAAAATTTTTTCCAAGTATTATTTTTTTTATTTATTCTCGAATATTTCATTCATTTCAGCCAATCTTTCGTATAATTATATGAAGGAAAGAGAGAGAGAGAAAAAAAGTGAGAAATACACACAAATAAATACAGATGAATATTGCGTCATGCAATTTTGTGAAAAATAATTCATGAACACAACAGCTACAGACATACACGTAAGCACGCAAACGTACACACACATACACACACAACACACACACACACACACACACACACACACACACACACATACACACACATACGCATACACACATTCCATGCATATGCACAGGTATACGAATGGGATATTCGTAGTTAATATTTGAGTATAGATATTACGAATAAGTATCAATGGTACGTGTACTTCAATAGTGATACATATACACACCCATATTAAATATGTACATACAACTCGTAAATAAAACCATAAAAAATACAATATGGAAAAGTATTAAAATATCTCGTCAAAATGAATAAAACAAACAAAATTAATATTAAATAATTTTGGAAAAACAAAAACTTCCCCATTCCACCTCTAAAAAAAATACAGCTGAGATACATTAATAATAGACTAGCAAGTAATTTTAGAGAAAGTAATAAAATGAAAGATACTCATTTCAATGAGATAAATTAATTTAACTTCCAAAAGGCACACAGAAAATATCCGAAATCACACCTTCCCATTAATTACATTCTCATCGAAAAATAAACACACTATATCAATCACATTGTAAACAAAATATATTCATCTTTTTTTTTCACTATTACTTCAAAAAAAAAAATGTATATAACGAACATACCATTACGAAGATAATAAACAGGGCAGTTAAGAAATTACACGGTATCAAAGAAATTTTTAAGAAAAAAGATGATCCCGAAAGAGATTATTCCGCAATTCATGTTCTGGTTCTCCAGCTATCTTTTGCTACAATAACTTTGTTTCTAACAAACCGGAAAAGCAAAGGAGTGTTGCTAGAAGAAAACTACCTAGAAATCTGTTAACTTACCTGCAATTAATTATTCCAACTTAGAAATTTTTCAAAATTTGAATTTTCGGAGAATTAAGCATAAAAATATTTGAAATGAAAAGTTGGAAAAAAGCGGCTAAAAAAACTAATGGAAAAAAATATAATCAAAAGAACCATTGCTTTATGAACGTCAGTTGCTACTAGTAAGATTGCTATTAGTACTATTAGTCATGTGTGATTTCTTCCATAATATCTCTTCGCATGAATGTCGTTTACTTTAATCTCATGTAATATTATCAACGCTTTGTTCAAATTTCGTTATGATTTCTAGCATATTCAGAGAAAAATACGCTGAAAACATGAGATCCAGAAAAATTTGCAGAAAAGAACACAAAAAACCTAAGCAATTCCTGAATATTATTACAGGAAACAGATGACTCGTGATGCCAAATTTTCATGAAGTATCTTTCCGTTCTTGTCCCTCTTGCCTAAGCGAATTTGAATCTTCCGTATTTGGAATATCTTTTCCATAGATATTTCGGAGATCTTTGCCTCGATAGGATGTAATGTACCTCCTGAAACAATTCTAGAGTAACAATTTTTTTTAACTTTTGGATCTTAATCTTTTAGAGTCTTAATAAATTTATATGCTAGTATTTTTTTATTTAAACAATTAAAAAAAATAACCAAGCAAAGAAATTATACTGTTTTTTTGGAAAGAAAAAGAAAAATCACTTTCGATGGTGCTGAATAAGTGCATCTTTCTTTTGCAAAAAGATGTCTCGATGTTCTATTGAACAAGAGCCAAAACAAGACCCTGATGGCATCAAAGTTTCTTCGTATTCACCTGACGATTCTGTTGAGGAGTTAGAAGATGAGGGTGAATCCACGCCATTCCAAATTTCCTCATCTGAATCCTGGAATATTAACAATCGATTTGCATTTCCATTGGAAAATCACATATCTTAACAAAAATTCTTAACACAAAACAAAAATTTTACGAGTGCAATATTTTGCTGCCGAAATCGGCTATCAAGAATATTTT